GAAATAATCTCTGCTTTGAAATAAATGAGAACATTTATGGAAGTTACAACTAGTGCAAAGTCTGGCAAAAATCATGAAGTCCGACATTTTATTTTTTTATTATTAAATTTGTATGCCACCTATCTCCCCCAGGCGGTGACTCTGGGTGGCTTACAATTATAAATGTCATTCAAATACCAACTCTAAAGGAACTACAGAGAAACTCTTTGGCATTGCGGTTAAGACAGAAGACTAGAAACAACCTACTATATTTATTAGAGGTGCCTATCCAAATTAGGAGAAAATAGCTCTGTATGCACAGGACTCAAACTGGGAGCAACCATGTCATCCAGAGATGTGTGTAGCACACACATCAGTGGACCAGCATACCCCATCTAGAAATGGCATCACACATTCAATACCCATGAAAAATGAATACCTGAACAAGGTTCCATTGTCCTTATTCATTCCTTGGGTGTCATTTGAAACTGGTTTACAGTGTTGACATTTAAAGCCTATGAAAAAGCAAGAAGCAATTTAATTTTTTCCATTTCTTCTAAAACCATATATCCATATTTCCTTGAAATAAATCCTTATCTGCATCCTTACTTATTCAAAACTTCCAAATTGGTATTTCTAGTTTTTTAATCAACCTAATTTATTTTAATAATGTTGCAATTTATTGCAATTCATTGCGATTTTCAGATTTGCCATTCCATTAACTAGGAGGCAAAACATAATATGCCTTGCAACTCTTCCCACCCCACCCCACCCCAAAGTTTTATTGACATTGTGACATAAAAGTCAGGTGGGAAATAGATGGTTCTTGCAATTAATGTACTAATTAATTGAAATGTTTTCATGCAAAGATGAAAGTGCACTAAATGAATAATGGCCACACAAAGAGCACCATACTAGGCTTTGGCTAAGTGTGTAAAAAGCATTGTGCAAGGAAGCAATATTATTTAAACAAGACTATTTTTTTCACACTTGAAACATGTTTTAAGTGTATCTCTGTGCTTTTTGAGGTTGGTGTTTTGCTTGTAATAATAGCAACTAAAAAAACAACCCATAGCTTGGAAATTATCATGTTTTCTTAAAGAAATCTGTCTACTTGGATATGCTAGCTAATAAAAATAACACCATCTAGATCAGTGTTTCTCAACCTTGGCAGCTTTCAGAGGTGTGGACTTCAACTCCCAGAAT